TAGACCTCCATTATTTGAATGTCAGCAGACAGCAAGAAGCCTCCCAGATCTCCAGATGCATTTGAGATATCAAAAAAGTACTCCGGAGTGTTGTTCAGCATGGGGGTGAGTAGAAAATGAAGGCTAATCATGTTTTGGGTGTACTATTCCTTTAATTATAACCTGGAGTATAAAGACTCTAAAACATGCCTTTAGCTGACCGAGCAACTCACTTGGAGCTGCAATTATACCAACAATGTAGATTAGATTGTATCAAAGACTTTTTTAAAGGAACCTTTTGGTATCTGATTTTTAATAAAAAAAAATAATGGACAGATTAATCGATTAGAAAATAATTGTTAGTTGCAGCCCTAATATAAATATAAATGAGCCGTTTTACTTTCTACAAGAGTAGGAAGCTGTGTGGATCTCTGCTGTAATTACAAAACCTGTGTAGTGAAGTACAGGCAAGATAATATATGATAGGAACTTAACACATTCTTTCAGTGAGGTCTGATGAATAAGTCCCAGTCCTCCACGGTAAATACAGCAAAATAAAATACTGAAGGAAAAGGAAAAGAAAAGCCTCACTTTAAGGGCCAAAGTTCGGCGAGTTTCCAAGCTGGTATCTTTGTCTTCTGAGGTTTCAATCTCCTTGGCAACTTGGGAGTAGTCAGCAGGATCGCACACAATGGTGACCCGGGCATGGTTCTTAGCTGCGGCTCGCAGCAGAGTTACACCACCTAAAGAAACACCAAGAATGAGGAATTCTTCATCTAATGTTTTTTTGGATATTATTTGAAAATAACATTATATATATATATATTATTTTTTTTTTTTTTTTTTAAGAGACTTTCTTTTAAGGTCAATGTACCTATGTCAATCTGCTCAACAGCATCCTCCACAGTAACATCAGGGCTTGAGACAGTCTTCACAAAGGGGTAAAGGTTGCAAACCACCACTCTAAAAAATACAGAAAATAAGTTTAACAACTTCAAAAAAAAAAATATTTACATTTACCAGCTATTGCTGTATGAATTAAAATCCACATTCAGGGTAGCTATGGACACGTCACATCATTGGAGCTATGAAAATAGTCTTATTTGGATTACTGGCTACGACTGAAAAAAATTATAAATGAAAAAAAAGTGTTTTATTTTATTTAAATATTTAGATCCGTTTTCACAGATTAAACATTTCAGGAACATTTTAATGATTAAGGTCTTGTGGACCTAGATATTAAAGTTGATGAGGTCATGGGAGCAGTTCCTTTCTGTGCTTTCTACACAGTAATAAGAACTTATGGACTTAATAATGTTTCATAATAATCCTGAAATTAAAGTTTTCTATTACTCTTAAATAATGTTTTGATCAAATAGATAATTCTCTGCAATGCCAGTAGTAGTTTTCAGTTTCATGATTAGTCTTCATTTAATCAAAGTCTTTGCAGAAGTTCAGGAATGCATTTGTTCTCTGGTTAAATCAATCAGCAGTCAGCACAGAGGAGGACTGGATGTGATTGAATCAGTTCTGTTGGTCCTGAGCAAACAGGAGTCACAAGATGATCAGCAGTCATCAGTTATCCAATGCTTAATCCAAAGCACGTGCTCACTCATAGTAGATGCATATTCTGCTCTGGAACTGATGAGCTTTCCAGCCAGAGGTGACAGAAACTCTCTGATAAAGTCACCCCTGCAATGTTAAAGCTCTAGCTAATAAAAATACCTATAATAATGAGAGAATGCGTGTTTAGATGCTGGAGATGTTCCATCCTTACCTGACCAGGCTGTATCCCAGCTTCTCCATGTCTGCAGCGTCAGAGGCGCTTTTTCTGGCCAGGATGCCTCCATGAACAGCAGGATGCAGAGTCTTCACTCTGCCTCCCAGCATCTCCGGGTGTCCAGTCAGCTCAGACACATCCCTGACACACAGCAGAGACAAACACAGCTTAGGGAGGCACACAGGAACCAAATGCAATCTGAGGACAGCTTTCCAACCTGACAGCCAGCCCTGCATTACGCAGCGCTTTGGATGTGCCTCCTGAGGCCACCAGGGACAGCCCCGCATCCACCAGCCGTCTGGCGAACTCCACCAGCCCGGTTTTATCTGATACACTTAAAAGAGCTGCAATGACAGAGAAGAAACTTCATTTTAAGCTCTTGTTAAGGAAAGCAATCACTCCATGCGAGGCGATGCTAGCAGCTTAGCTAGCTGCGCGCATGTGGCACAGAAAGTTCAGTGAAACAAGCTGAAAATATAGAAACTTACCGAGCTCTGTGGAGGCCATGTTCAGAGTTACGGTGTCAGAGAGCAATGTCGGCTGCTGTGGAAGGTGTTTCACTTTCAGGAAGAGCCGAAGAGCAAAAGCTGCAAAGCTGCAAACTTTTTTCCCAGTTTTATCATGTGCTTCCTAACTGCAGGGATCCGCCCCTCTCTGCTCCAGCTGTCCCGCCCCGCATATCAAGCGCATCCACCAAAACCAAGGAGAATGCGCACAGAATGCGCATCTCTACGCAAAGTGCATGAAAAATATGGTTATATTAATTTTTTGAAGATGGAAGATTTTGCTAAAGGCTTTCTGAAGGTTACATAGTTAGAACTAAAGCGGTCATCTTATGAAGAGTTTTGAAGAGCTATAAATTAGTTTTACAACAGGGAATATCTGGGATAAAGTTCCCTAAAGCCTTCTTAAATGTGAAGTTTTGAAATTTCTGGAGAACCTTCTGAGGACAGCATGTAAAATTTAGTCAAAAGTTTAAGTTCAGCTGAACCATTGACGAAGGAACCTTATAGAAAACGTTTCCAACAGTTGATTGCACATTTTCAAAAGCAGATCTTGAATCATTTTTTTTTTAAATCATACTCCTCTCCTGTGGAACCAACCAATCAGTCAATTTTGCAGACACCCTGTCTACTTTAAAGCTATGGTTAAAACTTCCCTCTTTGGCTCAGGGATCCTTATTGATGCTGCTATAGGCTTAGGCTTCTGGAGAACATAAGCTCCACTTTTCATTATTGTTTCTTTCTATCTCTATTCTCTATTTTTGCTATATTTGTTAGCTTTCAACTTCATAGTGTCCTCAACTGGCCTGGTGCTCTGTTTAAATGTGACACCATCCTGTAGGGAGGCTTCAACTGGACTGCTGCCATCAAAAACCTCCAATATAGAAGACTACGTCTGGTCCTGTTTCTCTCCTATAGCTAGTGGTTCCGCTTTTATTGCATAATATATATAATGTATATACTCTTTTTCATCCTTTTGACTTGAAAACTGTCTCAGAGCTCATAACTACCTTCTCTGACATATACAGAGTATTTTAGGATTAGTGTCTCGTTGCTCCTTTTGTGTGTTTGCCTCTCTCCTCTTGAACTCCCAGTCAGGCTCGGTAGAACAAGGCTCACACTGACCTCTGCTGGAAGTTACTTTCTGTTTAAAAGGACATTTTCCTCTTCCCTTTTGCTGCATGCTGACTCTGGGTGAGATATTGCTGCCAAGTCACTGACTCAATGACATTGTCTAGGATTCCTTAGAACACTTTACCAAAGTTTCAAGCCATTTTTTGTTTATAATTGCCTTAAAGTGACGTGTTGTAGGTTGGTGCTATTTAGCTTAAATGAAGTGAGTTATGGATTTACTTAATGGTTCATCAATATTAAGCAACAAAGCTAAAATTAAGCTTTGAAGCTTTTATACAAATGCATATTTAATTAGTTTTTACATGTAATGGCATGGACCCTTGTGTAATGTTCCTTTAGAATTCCGCCCAAAAAACACTATGGAGGTTGCAGAAAATTTTCTCCAAAGGTTTTTATTGCTTTGCTTTATATCAACTTCATACTTCTATATTAATTCTAACTTTTACATAAGCCTTAAGGTAAACCTCCATAATAACTTTTTTGATAGAATTTAATAATTCCTCTCTAAAAGTTCATAAAAAGTTAACATCTTAAAGAAGCATTTCCTAGAAGAATCATTAGGTGTTCGTTTCTACTTCGGGGAAAATTCAGGTAACTTTCCTTGAAAATTGCATCAAGGTAATGTGGATAGAGTACACAGCATGTGTTTATGGATCCTTTAAAGCCTTAAATGTTTTATTTGGCTTTATATCACCAAAGCTGGAATTTAATAAACCCTAAGTAAAGCTCATTCAAAGTCACATGATAAAAGCTGCTGTTCCCTCTCAGAAAAATACAGAAAGCATTTCTGAAGTTATCATCACGTTTACATTAGTGCAACTCACTCTCAAGGAACCTTTAGGGAATATTTTTCTTTTAACAATGGAAAATTCACAAATAAAAACATATTACTCAATAACAGTCTATATGGATTTAGTGCAAACTGATCAAAATCACCAGTTGTAACTTACCTCTTAGAAGAAATGATCAATATCACAGATAGTAAGAAATTAACTATACGGTATAGATCTAAAGAAATCTTTTGATACAATAATTCATGATATATTGATTAAAAATGTAGAATGTTATTGAAATCGATGGGGGTTGCCTTGAACTGGAAAAGTCATTTCATTAAAAAATAGACAGTTTGTGAAAATGTAAGCTATTGAATCTGATCATCCAGAGACTGTATGTAAAGAACCTCAATGGTCAGTGTTGGGGCCTGTATTTATATAACTGATATATTTAAAGTATCTAATGTTCTGGTCTAATGATCTGGTATCTAAACATTCTGGTCTCTGGTGAGAGTGTACAACAGGCAGCTTACCCATAATTACCTCAGAAGTTAGTAAATCACTGAAATGGTTCGTTAATAATAAATAATAATAAATCATTAAACTTAAACAAGACTAAAATTATGTTTTGTTTTTGTAAATAACAAAAAAAATGCACAAATCTAAGTCCAGATAAAAGGTTTGACTCTGGAAAGTGTAAACAATTATACATTCCTTTTATTAATTATTGATAATACATGAATAAAAATCATTTGGAAACTGCGTATTAAATGTTTACAAATTATTTAGAGGCATCTCATTTCTGGCCAAGACCAAATATATTTTGAAAAGTAAATGACTTTATATTCTTTATAACTCACTGATTCTGCCTTAATTATTGTATTGCTCAGAGGTGTGGGGAATTAATTACAAAAGCTCTCTAAAACCATTGATTACTCATTTACTCTACACAAAGCAGCCATCAGAATCCATAATGTAAGTTTATATGAACATTTATGCACACTATTGTTAAAATCTAAAATTGGGAAATATGATGATCAATTTAAAATGTCTCAAATCATAATAAAGGCAGCAAATAGATTGTTACCTGAACATATTCAGAATTTTTTATTTTGTTTTAAAAAGAAGGGAGAGTTATAAATTAATATATATTTACTATTGAGGACTAAGAATATATTTATGACAAGAAGCTCAATAAGGAGCTCAAAAAAGTCAAAATTTAGAAGAATAATAAAAAGATCATATTGATGATCATAATGATGGTAAAAACAATTATTTTTTAGATTCAAAATGTATTCATCTTAATTTTTATTTATATATAGGTCCCTTAGATTTATGAGCAGATGCTTTAATGCTTTAATGTTTATAGAAACATCTTTGACAATGAGTGTAATGAGTGTAATTATTTTGTGATGCCTAATAATGTAAGTCCATCTGAAAACAAAGCTTTTTTTTTTTTTTAACTCCTTTTGGAACATATCAGGACTACCATTACTACAACATATGTGTATATTAGATTCTCTGACCTAAAATATTTAAATATGTCTGTAATTTCTTTTTTACTCTTATGTTTGAAATACATACTTTTAAATTGAATTAAATTGAACCATCTAGAGATTTCCTAATAATTACAAGATGGAAAATTGTGTTTAAGTTTTAGAGAACCTTCAGGGAACAGACCTCAGGCATCTCATAAAGGTTGCTCATAATGTTACATCTTAAAAGTTGTAACATCATTTCAGAGAACTTTTATTATGATATGTTAAACACTCCCTCTTTTGTTGTGATAACACTCTGTTCATACAATAAAGACATTTTGAAATTATTTTACCCCACCATGTGTCTTGGGATTCTTTAATATGTGTAGAACAGCAGCTCTCCAAGTTAAAGTATTTTCAGAAATTTACAGACATTAAAATGAATAACCTATGTAAATATGTCCCTTTCACATGTATGTGGCTAATTTCGCCTTTAACTATAGGCATCTTTAGTAACACAAATTCATATAATCATCAGATAATAAAACTCCATCATTAAACAAGAAAAAAATGTTTTGACATAAAGCCACGAATATTTCGACTTCATTAAAGGCGAATAAGTAAATCCATGTGTAATTTAAATCTCACATCAACGTTTTAAAAGAAGCAGCAGGCCTATAATGAAAAGGAGGATGTCTGATAATTTACGGGTGTCTTATAGGATTTCTCCACCAGAGGGCAGACACGAGCAATGGACGCCATGTAAAATGAAGGTTCCACATCACCAATCATTCCTGTTTGTTTTTGCATATTTTAGTTATCGCAATATATCATCGATCCTATGGCTATTTTGTCTATTTTGTCTTCTTACATATTTAAAACTTTGAAATTTAACTCCAGCCGAATCTTAACTCATAATTCCTCCAATGATAGGCGAAAAGGATAAAGTAGCCAGACTAATTGCTATTTTCTCCTCTTCTTGACGAATGTGAAATATTTCTGCAAATCATCGCGCGCTGAAGGTTACACTGACATCCAGATTGGCACCATTCTCATTATAATAGCTGGAACACCTGTAAGGCATATTTCCAGCAACAATAAATGACGCTCGAAAATATATCCTCGTTGACGCCTCTTCAATAAACTTCACTTGGATGCTAAAAAATAAATAAATAAATGAATAATAAAAAAATGCAAAATTGTTCTACTTTAGAACAGCGTTTTAAGTCGGACAGATGTGGATTTATTGTGCGCCGCTGTAGGTGTCCATTAGTTAAGTGACAGGGCCCTGAGAAAGCAGCAGCAATGCGTGTGATTACGGTAAAAGATCGCACAATCTGTTCATATTTACGTAATGAGCTCGACGTTTTGCTGATTGATTAAACCGCGGGGGTGTAAATATGTTAAGGGGCCCCTTGATTTATAATCCAACAAAGCAAAAAGACGCCAATTTATTTGTGTAACCGTGAAAATGGGGGTTTCTGGTAAGCGCTCTGACATCTCAGAGGTGACTTGAGTGATTCAATAGACCGTGAAACGCTTTTATGGCAAGACGCACGCTCACTATGCATTATTGGTTCAAAAATGAAAGAAGTGATGGAGCCGTCAGCACTTTGGTCAGGAGGCTGTGGAGAAATCTGACAGCATTATCAGCACGCGGGGATTTTTTAATCAACATGACGGCTGGATTTGGATTAAATTAGAGGACGCAGGGAATCGATGACCTCCATACATCGCTCTGGAGCCTTATCAATTAGCTGG